CGGGCAAGGGACCCTTCGCAAGAAGAACCGAGGTAGGTCCCTTGGCATAAACCTGTCCGCTGCACCTCGCTTTCATTCAGCCTCCCCCCCACCCATTCTCCTAGCTTTTTCTGGACTTTTTTTTTGTCCTTTTCTACTTTAATAGCCCTCCACCATAAACTGTGACACTGTCTTAACTAAATTTCAAAACTATTTCTTTTTTTTTGTGAGACTTTTGAGCAGGTAGACCTAGACCCCATATTCTGGAAGTTGTAAGAGGAGGGTCAATATAAGCTCAAGGATATGCAGGGCTACATAGTTTCTGGGCTACAAAGTGAAACTGTCTCAGCAAAAACAGAACTAAATTTAAATCTTAGCCTAGCTCGTAATTATTTTCGTTTTGTTTTGTTTTTTGAGGCAAAGTTTCTCTGGGTATCCCTGGCTGTCCTGGAACTTGCTCTGTATAACAGCCTGGCCTAAAACTCAGAGATCCCTCTGCTAATCTGAGTGCTAGGATTATCTGGGATTAAAGGCGTTTGCCACTATTACCCAGCTGTATGTGTATGTGTGTGTGTGTGTATATATATATATATATATATATATATATATATATATAATGTGTTGGGGGGTTTCGAGACAAGGTTTCTTTGTAGCCTCGAACTCACAGAGATCCTCCTGCCTATGCTTCCCGAGTGCTGGGATTAAAGGCGTGCGCCACCACCACCACCCGGCAATAATTTTTAACTTTACATAAAGTAATAAGTTTCTTGGAATATCAGTGTTTAGGGTTCAAGCTGGAATATTTAATGTATTATTAAATTTTGGGATCCTGTTATAGTGATTACTGTAATTAGTTATATTGTGGTTGATAATGAGCAGTGCACCTTCTGTTTGATTGGAACCACTATAGCAGCTCCATTTAAGAAAACTATCAGGGTTGGGCGTGGTGGCGCTCACCCTTAATCCCAGCAGAGGCAGGCAGATCTCTGAGTTTGAGGCCAGCCTGATCTTCCAGAGTGAGTTCCCGAACAGCCAAGGCCACCCCCCACCCCACCCCACAATAAAGAAAGAAAACTATCAAAGCCTCAAATCAAAATAAATAGCTACGTTCATTTATGTGTAAATCCAGATTCCTTCTAAAGGTTTAGGGAATTCTTCCAATTGTGTGTTTGTGACATCACAAATCCTTGAAGCATGCTACAGAACTGCTTTGCTCTGTAATTTCTGAGCTATAATTTAAGGGAAAGCCAATATAGGTGAGGACCAAAATAACCCTATATCAGGATTTCACAACTTTTTTTTTTTTTTGAGACAGAATTTCTCTGTAGTTTTTGGATCCTGTCCTGAAACTAGCTCTTGTAGACCAGGCTGGCCTCCAACTCATAGAGATCCACCTGCCTCTGCCTTCCAAGTGCTGAGTTTAAAGGCATGCGCCACTACTGCCTGGCAGGATTTCACAACTTTAAAATATTAACATTTTGGAGCAGATAATTGCCATCAGCTGCTGGCTAGTGCATTCTAAGATAAGGCTCCCCCCCAGCTCTCCAGACCCTGCCCAGTGTCCTGTGGAGGGCAAAAACTGCCCCTAGCTGAGAACTACTGTGTCACATCCACGACCATCCCAGCTCTCTATGAATTCAGCGTGTGTTTTCTTCCTCCCTGCCCTGAAGAAATGATTTGAGAAAGATTAACAAAACAGAAACTGCTGAGTTCATTTCTACAGGCTGTAAACAAGCAGTTTATAGTGCTTATCAGTCCTCCTCTCTGGTCAGTTTAGTTTATCATGTTCTACAATCATCTCTGAGCTTTTCAAGTTCCTTAAACTTGCAGCCACCTTTCTAATCAGCAAGGCTCTTTCCCTGACTTCTCACAAAACAACTTCCTGTTTCTAAACAGACAGGCTTGCAGATACATTTTGTTGTTATAATTGAGAATCTTCCTTCCTTCCCCCAATTCCGTGTGGGTTGGTTCGCTCCTGGGAATGTTCCTTTGACATCAATGTCTCGGGTTGTTTGTTTTTACATCTATTTATTTGTGTGTGTGTGGAGCAACATTCTTGTCATCTGGTGCACATATAGAGAGAGTCAGGGGACCCACATATGTGCGGGCTCCAGGGATGGAAATCAGGTCTTCAGACTCGATGGTAACTGCCTTCTTACCAGTCTCTCTGATGAACCTTCTTACCAGTCTCTGTCCTATGGGTTTTATTGTTTGAGATGGGGTCTCAGGTACCTAATGCTAGCCTCAAAATCATTTTTGTGATGACTTTGTACTGTAGTCCACCATCTCATGATACTGAAATTATAGGGTTATGCCACTATCCTAGGTCTCCTATCAGTTTGATTTTTAAAAAATTCTTTATATGTTACCTGTATGTCTATCCTGCATGAATATCTGTGTACCATCCTTATGCATGGTGCCTGTGGAGGCCAGAGGACGGTCTGGATCTCCTGGAACTGAAATTACAGTTGTGAACTGCCAGGTGGGTGTTGGAATCTGAATTTATGTCCTTTGGAAGAACAGCATCTCTCCAACCCATGATTTTATTTTATTTTTAAAATAAGGTATTACTATGCAGTCCTGGCTGACCTGGAGCTCTATGGATCAGGTGGCCTCAAACTCAAAAAGATCCCCCCCAACGCCCGTTTTTTTTTTTTTTTTTTTGTTTTTTTTTTTTTTGCCTCCTGAGTGCTGGGATTAAAGACAGGCATGCACCACCAACTCCTATCAGTGGTTTGAGTACTTCAGCTCTAACCCTCTCAAAATCTTTATCTAGATTATCATGCACACCCTTTTTAAAATTCAATTGTTTTTCTCAGTTGGGTCTTTTCTCCCATACTCAAGTTTTCCTGTCTTCATTCTGATAAAATAAAAACGGACAGAACACATAATTCCTCCCTTTTCAGAGGCAGTTTATAATCTGTGCTGATTTCTCTCCCCTCTCCAGACTATTGCGGTGTTTGTCAACTGTCACCACTCCCGGGTTATTAAATTCAAAAGACATTTCCCAAGCTTCATCTTCTATAGCTTAGGAAGATGCTGTTTCTTTGAAATAGTTTTTATTCTCTAGATTGCCAGCATTTGGCTTTAATCCTTGGAAGAATTCTTGGGGCAAGTGGTTTAAAACCCTTTAATAACTCAGTGGCCATAAAATGAATTCTAGTCTCATTATTCCAAAATTTACATGACCTTTAAAGATCTGCCTCTCTTCCTAGCTTGATTTCCAGCGCTGCTGTTGATGCCTTTGGTGTGTGCTAAGTGCTACCTTTCTCCCTTACCCACAGATAGCCCCTACTCTTTCTTCCTCCTCTGGTGTTGGTGTTGAAATAGGAGGATCTCAGTATGTGGTCAGTCTGGCTTTACGTGCCAGAAGTCAGGTGATCGTCCAACCTCAGCCTTCGAAATAGCCTAGGAACTACACGGTGTGAGCTATCACGCCTTCATTTCTCTTGACTCATAAAGTGAACTCTTAAAACTTCTAACAAGAATGAACCTCAAGAAACTTCCAGAAGGCGCCTCGATGTTTTGGCATCCCACTGTTGTCACAGCCTGCAGAGTTCTTATTTCCTTGACTTCCGGAGGGCCTCCTACTTATCCTTCGTGACTCTAAGAGTAACTTCCTGCGGCAATCATACAGGCATCCCTCAAAATAAATTTTGTTCATTGTGGGCTAAAGGCAACCCGGAGTTCCTGTGCACCGTATTCTGTTCACTGTAATGTGTTAACGTATCTATTTCTCCGGTTTAGACGAATCAAAACATCCTGTAGGCTTCGACAGTCATTCTAACTTTTCTTAGGTGAGCAAACCCTAAGGTGTCCCCCACACAGCAGCCTTTCGTAATGCTGGGTGCAGGAACTCCTCCCACCGTCGGGCGGGGGTGAGGGGGAATCTCTCTTGTTAACGGGTGAATTCCCAGGCTCTCCGCCTGCGTGGCAGGCGATTTAACCCGCCCCCCGCACGCTGATTGGGTCTAGCTGTAGGGGCGTGTCTAACCACGCGGCTCCCGGCGAGTGCGCAGGCGCAGAAGTCCTCGGGGGGGGGGGCGCATGCGCGCGAGTTTGCTCCGGGTCTTATCTAGGAGTGTCCGATCTGCCGGGGCTGGTGAGGAGAGGTGGGAGCAACCCGGTGAGTGTTTTGGAAAGTGGCTGAGAACTGGTCAGCGGGAAGGATAGGGTGATATTCCGAGGAGAAAGAGGGTGTGGTGCTGGTTGAATTTTGATGGGGTCGGACTTGAGGGGAGACGTGAACTCCGGCCACTTCTCGGTAGATTGGGCCGAGAGCAAGGACGCCAGGAGTTGGCGACCAGCGCGAGCCCAACACAGGAAGGGAGGCGCGATGGTGGTGCCCTGAACTTTTGTGGTTCGATTCCCCATTTCTCACCTCCATCCTCGGTGTTGCTCCTTAGTTTTAACAGACTGCCTGGTGGCCCTAATGACCGCACAGTTCTGAGATAGTTGTTGAGAAAACTGACCCTGAGGCTCGTGGCATTGCAGACTTCACTGTCTAGGAATGTCCCTGCTTACCTTGACTTCCCCGCGGGCGC